TTTTTTTTTTTTTGTTAATATTTATTTGGAGCAACCCAAGAAGAGGGTTTTCTTTTTTTGTGCTGCTGCAGGAGAGGAGAGAAAGAGGAGCTGGAGCATCCCACTGCCATCGCACCATGCCACTCGCCCGCCCCACCCGGCAAATCCCTGAGGCCGCTTGGACCTCGGGCTTCAGGGAGATGACGGAGCCCTGGAAAGGCGCCGTCGGCTGCCTCGGCGTGGCCATCTTCTTCGCCATGACCATTGGCATCATCTCCTGGCAGGCGCTGGAGCAGTCCCCGGAGGAGTGGGTGCTGCGGGGCCGTGCTGGTGGGGTGCTGTGGGAGCGCCGGCGGGGTGCCCTGCTGCTGCGGGCGCTCCCGTCAGGGCGGACGGTGGCAGTGATCACGGTGGGCGGCGTGCCGGCCGCCGAACCCCCGCCGCCGCGGGACCGCTGCTGGCATGACCGTGGGCAGTTCTGCTACGCATGGGAGGAGGATGCCGAGCTCCGGCTCTCCATCGAGCCCCCGCCGGCCCCTGCCACCGAGTGCTACGGCGTCCACTGGACCCCGCTGCGCCCCGACGTGATGCTGAAGGTAACGGTGACCCCCGTGCCCGTCTCTGAACCGTGGCATTTGGGGTCAAACGAGCCGAAGCGGGAAGGATCTGGCCTGAACACACCATTTCCCAGCACAGTTACGGGGTCGCACCGTGGCTGAGACACGTGTCTTCCAAAGCCTCCAGTACCTGGAGGGTCCCAGGTGGGAAAGGCCCTTTGGAAGCCTCGTGCCCTGATGCTGAGCCCCCAAACCACGGAGGGGCTGCGGCCGCCTCCTCCCGGTGCCACACTGGTAACCCCAGGGTGGGAGAACCGTGTTTATATAGAGACTGAATAAATAACTGTAAGATCACAATGTTGGCGAGAAATGCAAGGAGCTCAAAGGTCTCTTCCAGCCACAGACACAATGTGGCAGCTCTCTCGGGATGGGATTAATCTATGTCTGCTGCTGCAAAAATTTATGGGTTGTTTTTTTTTTTTGTACCCTTCCCAGTCTTTTCCCTCAGTTAAATAAAAGCAGACTCTGAAAACGAGCCTTAGGGAGGGGAAGGGAAAAACCCGGTCAGATCGTGGTGATCTGTTGTGGGGAACCACTGGGACAGGCACGGAGTGGGATGGGATCCAGCGGGATGGGGAATTTTCCCCTTTAGCTGTAAATCACCTGTTGACATTGTTCTGGGCTGGTAGAAGGTGTTGTCTGAGCACAACCACTGTGCATGGGGCTGGTTTTCCTGCTGACATCAATCTGGGGTGTTTGAGAGGTTGAGCTAAGTTTTTCTCACTTAAAAAAAACCAACCACCAAAAAATAAGCAAAACCAAAACAAACCCAAAAAACCAAACCCAAACTATTAGTAAATATGATCCAGTGAAATTTAAGAGTTAAGAATAGGCTTTTTTTTCTCCCATCTTTCCCAGCTGTTGTAACTAGTTCAGCTGACACCTGGTACAGCTATTCCGAGCCTCCAGGGTTTCCACTTTAATAATTTACATCTCCTCTCCCCACCCCTTAGTGAGACTTAACCTCTCTCTGCCCCTGCGGCAGAAACAAGCTCCGGGCTCCAGGAGCACTGTCTGAGCCCTGGGGTCAGAGTCAGGGTGAATAAAACTCGGTTGGGTTGAGCTAGGAGGTCACTGGGTCCCGCTGTGCCCATTCCAGCCGCCCTGCGCAGCCCCAAATCCCCGGGATTTCGAGGAAGCCCGTCCTCACATGTGAAGTCACGCGGGATGCTAAATCCTGCTGATCCCCTGCTTTGGCAGAAAGGGGAAAGTTTTAGAGGCTTTGAAGCAGAAATTGACGGTTTCTGAAAGGAGGCGGGCCAAGGATGGGGGTGTCCCCTGGGATCAGCGGCTTTTGGAGATGGCTCATTGATTGTTCCGCTGCTCCCTCAGCCCGATGAGAAGTTCACCAAACACGCCCTGATTTGCTCTCGCTGAGGGAAGCGCTTTTTATCATCAGCCCTCGGGTAAGAGGGAGGCTTTGCTTTGGGGGAGAGCGGAAAACCCACAAGTTACCCCAGGGACACTGTGGTGCCATCAGATGATTGCTCAGGATGGGTTTAAAATCTCCCTGTGTGCATACAGCTGGGGAGAGGTGCGAATTCAGGCTGTAAACTCACCCCAGAAGCACTGCAGAAAGTAGCTAGGAGGGTTTCTTTTCTTTTTTTTTTTTTTTTTAAACCAAACAGATTTTTTCTAAGCTGGGTTTGTTGAAGTGCTGTCGCTGCATTTTAAAGCTGCTGCCTTGAATTTTCCATCTCCATCATCACTCCTGTCCTGCAACAACAGGCACCTGCAAAGCCTCTTCGCTTAAACAGATTTCAGCGTCTTTTCACCAGCAACTCAAAACCCTGTTAATCTTTGATAATTGTGGCTGGGACCAGATATGTAACCAGGTGGGGTCTCTGAGGTGCAGGGTGTCATGTGCAGCTGATACCAAGTCACTAGGCTGCTTCACAGCAATTTTATTTTATTTTAAAGAAAACCATAATTTTTAAGCTATTGAGTTTTTCTTCCTGCAGTAGGATGTTTATATTCGTCTACCGCGCTGCATGTCAAAAGCAGACGTGAGGGGAAAACTTGTTGGTTTTGGCTTTAATTAGCCTTTCATTAGCAAACTAAGGCTTTTTTTGTTCTTTGAGGTAAACAAAGCATGATTCTTGTTGCTTTTTTTTTTTTTTTCTTTTTTGGCTTCCTACTCTTACACCATTTGGTGACCTTCATAAACTGCAGGCTGAGGAATCAAGCAGTTAGGCAGAATTTCAGCATGTTTTCGTACCTGGAAGCCCAACTCTTGTTCTTGAAGAGTAAGAACTTAAAGCCAAGTATCTTCTCATGGGTTAGATGTGGAAAGCAGAGTGAACACCCACTGCTTTTTGCATAAAACACCTAAATATCATGGGGTTGGGGTTTTTTTCTTCCTGGGAAAAGACCTGTACCATGACTGCTCTGACAGCTCTGCCCATGACTGAAGTAACACGCAGGGGTTTTGCCTCTCCGAGTGCAGCTACTCGCATGTTCATCCTCACCCCGAGGCACTTCCCCCGACCTGAGGAGGCTCTCTTGGCTGCAGGATTGCTTCTCCATGGCCAACGTCTCCTGGTACGGAGGGGCGAGCATCCGTGCCCAGCACTGGCCGCTCAACAACGCCGAGAGCCCCGCGCAGCCCTTCGTTAGCGGCAACTTCGGCAAAAACCCCACTGGCTACGGGCCTGTTCTGGAGAGATACTTTTTAGGCTCAACAGGTAAATTTGTCCTTCCCTGTCTAGGTCCTGTTGCTTTAACCCCTGTGTTTCTCCATCCCTCTCCTCATCTATAAAGCAACTAGTTTAAGAGCAGGATAGATGTCTCCGAGATTAAAATATCCTTCAAATAGAATGACAGGTGGCGGCAGGACACAAGGGATGGACCCCACACTGCCTCACCCCCGTGGAAAAGGCCATGATATCAAACCTCACCCCACCTAAGCTGCATTCACAAGTCACTGCCTGAGAGCATGGGGTTAGCCCAAGTCACCCTGGGGAAATCCCACACTCTTGGTGTGTCTTTTTTATTTTTTAAGCAGAGATCTGTGTCCACTGCCGCATCCTCCAGCTCCACTCAAGTGGCTTCGCCCTAAGCTCCTGGGTCCCTGATGCTGCTATGGGATGTTGGCTGCATGAGTTTAGTTGCTGTTGTCATTTTGGGGTGGATATTTGGATTATTCTGCAGAACACCATACTTCAGATATTCCCCCAAATTAATCAATGGGTCTGCAACTGCCCTGAATTGATAAAGCTGAAGCCACTGCCTAAGCTGAATGCAGAGCAAAAAGGCAAGAAATGGAGCAAATCCAGCCCCTGAAAAGCATTTTGGAGGTTAAAAGGGAAGAGGAGAAGCAGAGAGCAAGGATTTGTTTGCAGGGCCACATCTGTGGCTGGGATCAATCTGGGAGCTCCTGGTAGAGTTAGGCTCTACCCCATGCATCCCCATCCCTGTGGCCACCAGTGTGGGGACCAAGAGGAGCTGGGCACTTGCTGAGACACTATTCTCCTCTTCCCTCCCCAAAGGAGTGACAGTGATGGTGGCGCCTGATATGCCCCTCGTCCTCTCCCTGGAGAGCGATAGGCATTTCTGCCTGCAAACACCAGCGGAGAGTGATGCCGTGTCCCTGCGCTACCTCCTCTGTGTCAGCCCGGACATCGCAGCCGCCCACCGGCATGTGGGCAGCCAGCTCGCGGGGCAGGCACGGGCACTGCCAGACACAGCCCTCCTGGGGTAAGGCACTCCTTCCCTCCCAACTACCAGCATGTTTTCCAAGCCTTTGTCCCTGTTACTGCCCCAAGCACCTCATGCCAGCACAAGCCGCAACCCCCCGCCCTGTGTCTTCCCACCACGCAGGTCTCCGATCTGGCAGTATTATGGCCCAGCAGGTTCAGCTGCCAAAATAAAACGAGGTCTGAGGTCATTGGCCAAGAAACTGAAGCGGCATCATCTTCAGGAGGGGGTCCTGGCCCTGGGGGAGCGCAGCACGGCCATCCTTGCTGCTGCGGTAGGTCCCATCCTCCCAGCCCTCAGGCTCAAAAGGCAAATGGAGAGCGGCCACGGGCCCTCTCTCAGCACCATTAAACCCCCGCGTGTAAAATGCCAACACACCCGTTTTGTGGGGTGGGGGATCCCACAGAAGGGATGCTTGATTTGGGGTCTCACCCTGAACAGGCAGTGACACCGAGCAGCTGGTGCTCCATGGCTTTGCCGCTCCTACAAAACACCTTTTTCCACCTTTGCCTCCCCACAGGACCATGTGCCCTTGGAGCGGAGGAAGAGGCGCGAAGCGTCCCGTGCCTGGGACCCTTCCCTGATCGAGCCACTGCAGCTCTCCATCACGCTGTCTCCGTACACCAGCATCGCCTCCCCGCTCTTCCTGCGCTGGCTGCGGGACGGCCAGGCGGCGAGCTACTGCCTGAGCCTGCAGCCCCGCTTCGGGGACTGCTCGGTACGAGACCCTCCGCCAACCCCCCAGCCTGCTGCTCGGCCTAATAAAGCTGAACATGTACCCGCAGGACGACCTGATCCTCCTGTGCTGGGGGCAAACCCCATGGGTATGAAGCAATGCCTGCGGGAGCAGCTTTTCTCCTGTTTCATAAGGAAGCAGCATTTAATTTTATTTCAAATTTCCACTTCCAAAAGATACTTTTAAAAACTGACAGCATTTAGAAAATCCCCCCAAGACCCTTTTTTTGCAGTCATTTCAATGATATGCCAATTTGCCATCAACTGAGGGATTTGGCGGGGAAATAAGAGAGGGCTTCCACCTTCATGCGGTTGCACCGTGATGGTGTAAATCGCGGTAGGGTGGGATGAGGGGAGAGCAGGCAACCTCCCAGGCTTGGCGGGATATTTTCTGGGTTCAGCAGAACTTCTCCCCATTCTGCCACAGGTCCCGCTGCTGACCACGTGGAAGGGGCGTCTTTGCGCCCGCCTGAACGTCACCAGCGAGCCAGCGCTGAGCTGGTACCTGGCGCGGGCCCGGCGCCTGCAGCAGGCACTGGGAGCCACATACATGGTCTTCGAGGGGGCCGAGGGCAACATCTTCCTGGAGCGAGCTGTCCCACCTCCTGCTGAGCTGACGGGAGACCGATATACCACAGCGCTGGCGGCGGCGCTGGCAGCGCTGGGAAACGCCACCATCATCAGTGCCGGTGCTGGGTGGGTACCAGGGAGGAGAAAATGCTTTGCTGGAGCCGGTGGCTGCGTGAGCTGCTCAGGAGGGGGTTGAGGTGATGCTGTAAATATGCCCCTGGGGTGCTGAGACACCACTCAGCACTCAGGGGAGCAGTGTGGAGGTGATCTAGGGCAATACATAGGGAGGGGTTACTCTTCCTCTCTCTTTTGGAGCATTTTAATTATTTTTTTTAAATGCCTCTGAGCGTAAAAATGCTTAAATGCATTAATGGCAGGTTCAATAAAAATGCATTTTGTCATTTACGGCCACTCAAGCTTCAGGCCACTGCCTCCTCTGCAGGAGGGAGAGGGTGAGCCCTGGAGTATTGGCCAAATCCCTGTGTTGGTAGTTGTGGTGTCAAATGGCTGCAGTTTTCTGCCTTTTCATCTTTGCATAGCCTGCAACAGGGTCGGTTTATTAATTAGCAGCTGTAACATGCCTTGAGACCATTTGGTTAAAGGCAAAACTATTACTTTTCTTTTTTCCCATTATTTTTATGTTTGACACATGCAAAGGACTATGCAGGCTGTTTTCAAAATGACTTATTTCATGTTGTGGTTGAGGCACTGATGGTAAATTGCATGATAAATTAGTTCATTTTCAAAGAAAAAGCAAACTTTCACATGCTGAGGTGGTGATGGGCTCTTACTTAGCCGTCTGTGAAACCCGAGTGGTGGAAATAGCCCCCGTTCTAACCACTTCTTAGTCCATCCAGGATCGTATCTTTCCTGGTGGGCAGTTTCCATACCAGAAGGGTTTCATAACCCATCGCATCAGCTTTACCATCTCCTAAGATGAAAAAGTGTCCCTGGGAGACCTTTGGGGAGTCAGCAAGTGAGTGGGAGGTTGAGGAGAAAACCAAACTCTAGAAGGAAGCAGATTCAGACCAAAAATCTCCCTTTGGTTAGATGAACTTGACACCATTTTTCAAGCCAAAGCTCATCATGAAGGTCCAGATCTGACCCTTTTTGGACACCAGAAACTGTCTCCCACACTGGGATGCTTGATGACATGACCCCTTAAACCACCAAGTAAACACAAGACATAGAAATGCTCCTGAAAAATGATTTAAAAAAAAAATAATCCAACAAACCAAACCATGGGGAAAATAATGTTTTCCTCTGGCAGGTAGATAAAACTGCTGTCAGGAATGACAGCCGCTCGGTGTGAAACACGAGCACAAACAAAAGCCAGGAGAATAAATCCTCCCTGCAGGACGTGTCCCCCGGACCACCCGCATCACAAGGAGGTTGGTGCTCTGGGTTTGGGGGACCACATGGCCAGGACTGAGGTGGGGGCTGGGCTGCTCCTGCCAGCCTTGTGGGTTTTGGTGAGCATGTTCCCACCAGGGTTTGTGTTGCCATATGAGAAGCAGCAAGATGATGGCTACAGCCCAGAGTGTGGCTGTGCTGCTGTCAAGGTGAGCTACCTAAATGTGGTCCTCATGAGAGCAAGTGAGGAGAAGGAAAGCCTTGAATAGGGGATTTGGGGAGGATTGGGGTTGCCCAAGTCAGCAAGGCAGGTGCAGTGGGTGGGAATGGTAAGGGGGAGTGCTGATTTCCCTCCAACAGAGATGTCAAGTCATTGGAGAAACCCATATCTGACTGCAGTGACAGAACATTTTGGGTCCTGCAAGCCATCTAAAGACATTGGGTTTGTGCTTGTTTCCCCCAGATCCAGTCACCTCCCGTTCTTTGTCCAGATGAGCCCGCTGCACTCAGACTGGAGCCACACAGGGCTGAAGGGGCTTATTCCCTCCGTGCTGCACTACAGCCTCTTGGGCTACAACTTCTTCATCCCTGATGCAGTAGGTAATAATTTCTTTTCTGCCTTTCTCCCTATTTCTGGCTTTGCTGCAGAGGGTTTTGCAGCAGTTTCTTAGGCAAGAGGAGCTCGGGAGGTACATTTGCACCACCTGGCTTAGGTGGGCTGTAGGAAGGCTCGAAACGCTTTGTTCCCGGTACCTAAATTTCAGCTGCACTGACTTGATTGGGTTGAATGTTACTAGGGAATCAGCTGAGGAATTGAAAACAAAAAAACATGTTGTAAATTTTAATAGGCAGCCCCAGAAGCAGGCAGGTCTCTGGGGATGCGCTTCGCAGAGCTCCTCGGCCGCAGGGAGAGGGCAGCCTGCCACCTCCCACGGCTTTGTTGGAGCTAAAACCCACCTGGCAAGGGCAAGGAGGAAGCCCACAGATGGGAAACCGCACACCCAGGCTCCTGGCTGGGAAAGAGATGTTCCTAAAACACCAGCAGCCCTGTTCCAAGTTCACATTTCTGCTCCAAAGCACAATGGCTTGAGAAATCCTGAAATAAAAATGTTATAAAAGTTGAGAAACAATTCTTTGATCGGGGTTAAGCAGCTCATTTGTCCTCTCTTCTTGGAGGTGACCAGTTATTTGTGTTTAAAACATGCCTCAAACAGGCAGAGGCTGCAGGTGAAGTGTCAGACTGCAAAGACAGCCCTGAAAAAGGGGGTTGTTGGGCAATTTTTCAATTTGGCTTCTATTTTTAGTCCTTTTCTTTAGAAAACAAGGTAGAGGCAATCACACCATACCAGTTCCCTTCCCAAAGAGACGCTGAACCCATTGGTCATGGCTCTTGGTGCTGGGGCTGTGGCCCATTGGGTTGTGTCGCCACAGTTTGGGGCCACTCCAAATGGGAAAAGCCTCTGGAGCAAACGGGGTCTTGACTGGTTTGGGTGAACCCTCGGCATTGGTGTTCTTGTGCCATTTCTGGGGGAAGCTGCACCAGGTTTTGAGCAATGGCTCCTAAGGATGCTTCAGCCCCAAGGGCTTTGTTTCCCTTTCCCTGTCCCATCCCAATCTCTCCTGTCCTTCTCAAGCCCCTCTCTGGTGTTCCAGAGGGGAACTGGAATCTCTTTCCACTATGTGTTTCTGATTAATTAGTTAGCAATAATCTGCTTCTCCACCACTTTTCACTATGAATTTGAAGGGATGAAAATTACAGGAGTATTTTCCCTTGATGCTTCATCTTTGCATATCAAAGCAGCAGGAAAGTCCAGAATTTTCCTAATGCTTTGCTTTGCAGGAGACAAATCCCTTTTTACACCATTCTGCTAAAATTTAGAAACTCCTGAGACATCATCCCCAGCACATCTGGTCCTAAAATGGCCAGGGATGGATGTCTGATCCACATTTGCTGATGGCACTCGAGGAATAAAACCACAGGTGGGGAGGATTCAGCTCCTCTGGCAATGGGGTGAGGTGTCCTGCCCGCACAAAGGGCGGATCATCTGGGACTCATCCCACTATGAGACGCCCCTGAGCAGCTTCACTCAGCTCCTTGTCTCTGGCAGGAGGAAGCCTGGCTGGTGACACCGCAGGGGACCCGGAGCTGTACGTGCGGTGGCTGCAGATCGTGACCTTCCTCCCTGTGATGGCCTTCAGCACGCCGCCCTGGCTCTGCTGCGACACCTGGGTATGCATCCCTGTGCCCTGCAGAGGAGGACACTGTCCCTCATATGACAAACACCCTCAAAAGCTGTTAAGGTCCCCACTGAGGGAAGCCAAGGCTAAAAATCACTGTTCTCTTCTTGCTACCCCCAAAATCCTGTGCTCTGCCCCAGCACCCAGATCGTTGTACATGCTCAGCAGTATTTATAACTTCGTGGCTCTGTGCTACCATGGGGCTGGTATCTGCAACATCTGTAGAAATGATGGTAATCATCATGTGTGTCTCCTTCCCTTTTGCTGCTGGAGTTGTTTAATTAGAGTTTGATCAAATAGTTAATGTGTACAGTAGAGCAAAACCTGCAGATTCACATTCAAGATCTTTTTAAACAGTGGGAGTCATTTTTCCCAGGGATGTTCCCTTTAGGGCAGTAAAAGGGGAGAGCGAGTCTTAAAACTGGGGGCATAGGGGAAACGTCATTAAATGTCTTTGCCAGCAGCAAAAGAGTTTGTTGCTTTGGTTAGACACAAACACCCCTGCGAATCTCACCTGCCAGCTGATGTCCCTGGCTTTTGCACCTAAATGGCAATAAACCTGCTGCATCAGACCTGTTTGCCCCTTGTTAGCTGCCATTACTTGATCAGCACGTTGTAATTTGGTAATCTTCCCAAGGGAATTTTTTTTTTCTTCTGCTTGCTTTGCCGTTTATTGGATGAAGGACTTGTCATGGGTTTCTTTTTCTTCCCTGACCCTGCAGGTCCTGAACCTCACCCGGCAATGCATACAGAGGCACCGCGATTTCGTTGTGCCACTCATTCTAAAATACAGCGAGGAATGGCTCAGGTCTGGGTACCCCATCTTCCGGCCGGCATGGTGGCTCAGCCCCACGGATCCAACCGCTTTCACCATAGAGGATGAATTTCTCATTGGAGATGAGGTAGGAAACGGGGGACTGAATGTGCCCCCCAAGGGTAACTAGGGGCAATAAGGTGCCCCCTGCGCTTGCCTATCCACCCCTCTGCATCCTACCTGACTACAGCGCTCCTACAGAGGTGGTGTGAAACCAAAGGGCTGAGGGGACCCTGCTGGATCTGCCATGTTTGCCATTTATTCAAAACGAAGAATCAATGAGACTTGTTTGTTTGTTTGTTTGCTTAGTATCAGGGTATTTTTCAGTCCTTTCTGCCAGAAGACACCTCCCGATCCTCCTGATGATCAGCACTGCTCCTTTCCCCCCTCTTTTCAGGCTGTTAATCCCTTTACGTGGAGCTCCAGCCCACAATAACCAAGGAGCAGAGCAATGCGCAGCTCCCTGGTCCTCTGGGGGGGGGGGGGCCG